AACAGCAAAAAAAAGGTCGTTATTTGTTATGAGTGAAAATGGAGGGAAAGAAGGTAAAGTATATTCCCATTCCTGATTATAAATACATGAGTACATGCTTTAGAGATGTATGGAGATACACAGGGAAAAGCTGGAAGGAAGGTCTCCCACTTATTAGCATCCTTAAAGGACAGATTATGGCTGATTTTCTCTTCTTCTTACTTATCTGGCTTTATTTTCTTCACAACGTATGAACACATGTGATAAAGGGAGGCACACACAATGTTATCTCCTGGTGACAAGGGCTCTGCACAGAACTAAATAGCTGAGCCTCTTGCCATTCCTACAGGGAAGAAGAGCTGAGGCAGGTCTGTGGGACAGGCTCCAGGATCAAGGAGCGGGGAGGGGGGGGTGTTCAGCGAACAGAGAGCCTGTGAGAGTAGGCAGGACGCACGGGGCTTCAGCACTACCCTCTGGAAGGCTGGAGCTGGTCCCAATGGAGCTGCACCCCTGCTGTGCCCACAATGGGCCAACTTTTGGCCCAGGCTCACCTTCTTCCCAGAGCTCCCTCCTAATTATGGATGGATTGCTGTGGTCCCCCACCCCTGCTAGGCTGTGCTTCTGCCTCCAGTCCTACAGAGAGTGTAGAAAGGTGAATCAGTAACCCCAGCAGGGATGGGGCCAGATCTCCTAGGGCCCAGCTCTGGGTTGTGCAGACCTCCTCAGGACCATACCTGGGGGCCTAAGGCCAAGCAGCAGAACAAGGTGATGCCCAAGAGGCAGGTGTTTCCATAGGCAGCAACCCCACCGCCGCTTCCTCTCATCTCCCTCCTTCAGGTGACCTCCTCACACACACATATATATATACACACACACAGGACTAGAACTGAAACCCAAGAAGGCCCTCACACCTCCAGCCTAAGGCCTCCCCCTCAACCCTGCCACCGCAAGTGGTCCTCACTTCCCAGGGCTTTAGCATGATGGGAACCCTGTATAATATTGTATCTGAACTCATGTGTGTTCCCTCCTTGGTGAGTGGCAGGTAGAAACAACACCAGATAAGTTGTTGCACAATCTACAGTTTATTTGCAGCAAGTACAATCATGGGAAATAAATTCCAAAGCTGTGACCGCCCCCCACCCTTCCAAGCAAGGGTGGATGAGTTCCTCCTATTTTGGGTTAGGATTACCATTTAAAAAGGGTATTCTTGTCATGGTATGTAGAGGGGGGCATAGGCCGTGCATACATACATTGTATGTTATGTAAAGGAGGCTTGTGCTCCTCCTTGGATGGAGATTTTAGCATTATAATGAGATAAAGGTAATTGCCAGTCATCCTGGCGGCCACTCCATGGCTCATCTGTGTGACTTGGGTTGGGCATTTCTGGCTAAGTGGCCTGGGTCATCTGGATCTTATCAGGGCAGACGTTATTGCTTGAATTTTGGTTTCCATCATGGGATGTTATGCTCATTCAGTCTTTTGCCCGAGTTAAGAGAGAAGCTGTAAAGAAGAGCTTCTGGGAAAAGTGGAACAAAGGTCGGTGAGTACAAGCAAATGGGCAGGAGATCAGGTCTTAGTGTCTAGCTGGTGACAAGAACAGTGGTGATAGAGACCTTGAGATCATCTTGCCCTGTCCTGTTAAAAAGGGAGGATACTGAGACTTGGAGTGGGGAAGTGATCTGGCAAATCAGTGAGTCAGTGAGGGGTCTAGGATTCCAAAGAACCTAGTGCACCTGGCTGGCTCAGTCAGTTAAGTGTCTGCCTTACACTCAGGTCATGATCCCGGCGTCCTGGGATTGAGCCCCATGTCAAGCTCCCTGCTCAGCAGGGAGTCTGCTTCTCTCCCTCTCCCTCTGCTGCTCCCCCAGCTTGTGCTCTCTCAAATAAATAAAATCTTAAAAAAAAAAAAAAGAACCTAAATCCTGGCATCAAACCCTTGTCTCTCCTTGCTGTGCTGGGTCATAGAACCTGAGAATAGAGGCTACTTCTCCACCCCACTGATGGTAAGATCTGCCAAGCATTCTCTTGGCAGGAACACCAGCTGTACATCCTGTCCCTCTTCCAGGTACCCAGGGAGGAGCTCAGTATTCGACTCCAGTAGGGTTTTAAGAGGAGGGGGGAATCGGGAGTGGGGGATCCAGTCAGTGGGGGGCACAGACTGCTCTGTGAGGAGCTCCTGGCCACACAACTTCCCTGCTGCCCGCTCCTCACCCTGCTCCTCCCTGAACCTCCTGGGACTTGTGTGTGTGTACGCGTGCATGTGCTGGGGGTGTGCAGAGGTGGCAGAGATCTGCCTCCCGCTCAGGAATGCAGGTCCCATTGTTGACCTTCTGTATTCCAAGCCTAGGCTGAGATGGTGTGCAGAGGACAGTTCAGGAAAAGGCAAATACTCACTAAATCCTATCTCCTGCACTCCTAAATTCTGGCCCAATCGACTTGCCCACAGGCCCCCACTGTTCTCCCAAAGGTAGTAAAAAAAAACCCAGAAGGAAGAGGCCGGACTGAGTACACAGAAGTGAGGCTGACCGGGATGGCCTGAGAGCCAGGGACAGGCAGTCCATTAGTGACTTCACATCCACAGCCACAGGAGCCGAAGGTGGCCGGCAAGCGGGAGCTGCTGAAGATGTGGCCCCTTTTCTCCTTTAGGATCCATGAGCTGGCCTCTCCCTTCTACCACCTAGCCTATCTTCAGGGTCTTTCTTCGAAGCTCTCCACTGGTACACCCCACCCTCATGCCGGGAGTGCCGGCTGGGTGGGGCCCTTGGTGTTGATGGAAAGCCCACAAGGTGCCAGGCACTGGTGACAGCACACACACTGGCCAGCAGGGCCATATTCTGGGTTCCGGGACTGATTCACTGAGTTAATCAGTATTTATTGAGCAGGCAGTGGAGGTGGTGGGAGGAATCAATTCCTGGGCTTCCTGCATGTCCTTCCCAGCAGCAGGGGAAACATCCAACAAGGCTGCAAAGGCCAGGGAGCCAGGCAGAGCTCAGCAACACCAGCTCCAGCCCTCCCACCACCCAGAGGACTCTCTGGGTAGCCAACCCTCCCTCGCTCACCCACAAACCACCCCCCCCGCCCCCACCCCACCTTGGGAGCTGTGATAGTGCAGCTTGGTTTGGGAGTGGTGGAAGGATCTGGAAAGGGGAGGTATTCCCTGATGTTGTTTTCCATCAGGCTATCTGGTCTTCGCGACTGTCCACATGGCAGCAGCACGGGGCCAGGTCAACACACCAGGAAATGGAGACTTTAGGCCACCAACTTGGAAGATCCAGCCCAATACCGATTGTGACATAAATGACACCTGTTTTGCCCTTGGTAGCCTCACCGTTCCAGGGTCCCCCCTCAGGTTCTGTGGACTCCTCCCTCCAACAGATGACAATCAAAGGAAAAGTGCTGCCTGTGAATTTAACAGGGAATCCACTTCCCTTGGGAGGCATTTCTGTTGGAAGCCTTTGTCTAGAAGGGGAAGGCCTTCCCATTCCACATTCAAGGAACTCTGGGGACCATGGAGCTGGAATTGGTTTCAAGAGGAGGCGGCTGGCCAAGTGTGCCCCTAGAGCTGAGGAGGACTCTGAGAAGGAAGTGGGACAGTTCCACAAGCGGGCTGCCTGGCTGCTGAGTGTGCCAAAGTCTCAAGATTCTCCCTGCCCTCCTCCAGAGATAACATGAAAGAGGAAAGGCAGTGGGTGACCTTGAGCAAACTGCTTGGCTTCTCTACTTCCTTAGGCATAAAATAATCCCATGCATTCAGACTTGCTGTGAGGATTAGAGATCATTACCATAAATTTCCAGCAGTCAATGACATTATATTTGATGCAGAAAATGTGTCCCTTTCAGAAATCCTGGATCTTTCCCTTTATGAAATGAGTAACCAGAGCCACCCCATCTCCCATAAAAAGGGACACAAAGGGGCAGCAACGGTGAGGCACCACAACCATAATTTATTACCCAAAGCAGGTTGAGGGATTCCAAGCATTGGTCACGGCCCTCCCCAGTTATAGGAAAGACACAGCCTCTTCAAACTTAGTCTCCACTCCCAGCTGAAGGATTAAAAGGCTGCAGCCCAAGTTATGTCACAGCTACAATATCCTCATTCTTGACTACCTATCTCAAAGTCCCAGATGGGCATCAAGTGATTTGGACCCCAAATCTTACACAGGAAAATCCTACGATTAAAATAAGATGGGAGTGATCATTCCAACAGAAAGATACCAACAGTGTTAACAGTCTATGAGGAGGAGAAGGGATTTCTGTTTATAATCATCAGGATTAAATGGAATTGTCCATCATCATGAGAGTGAAGGGAATGCTGACCCTGTGGGACGGGAAGACAGGTGCACTGGCCAAACCCTCCTGGGCAAGTCTCCCAGGAGGACTCCCCTTGATTGTTGCCCTAAGGAAGGAGCCTCCTGGTTGACTAGTGACAAAGGAGCCCACAGTGACTGCCCCTGAAGGAACGAAGGGTGGGGTGGGAAGTGTGGGGAAGGCTGTTGAAGTTACACAGAATTCTGAGGAGTTGCAGAAGAGGCAATCTTCCAGCAGTATTGAGAGCTTGCCTGACTGTTCCTACTTTTGGAGAATGTAAGCTGGTTGGATCTCACACAGGATTTCAGTTTTGGGTTTTTTTAAATTGATTTAAAAAAATTATCCTAGACCCAGGAAGGTCAGTTCCTTAAAGTCTCCTTTTATCATCCAACCAAAGAGCACTTATGTCTATGAATTGCTGACAACCCTTCAACCCAGACCCTGAACTGAGATTTTTCATGAAAATCAGTTTCTGTGCCAGTCAAGTCTGATCAAGTTGTCTCTCCATAACTTAGCTCCCAACCCCACCTGGCCAGTCACGGTGGAACCAGGAACCCAATGGGCAGATTTCTTTCCTCACTTAACTGAGGCATTCCAGGAAGAAGGGGAGTTCCCAGCACCTGCCTAACAAACTCTGCTCTACTTGAACTTTGCTTTGTATGAACAGGTAGGTCACTCTGCCTGCAAATTCCCCCAAACTGTCCCTACTTGTGTTTTTAAGGTACACCAGTTCCTCTGTTGTTTAAGGCTCTCTGCTTGTAATGAATTATTTTAATTATTTTTGCTACTCAAAAGAAACTTTTGCATCAAGCCCCGCCCTGCCAAGATACTGGCACCAGGCTGGGGGTAGGGGGTTGAGGGCAAAACCCAATTCATTATTAGGGATTCTGGTCCTTGGGGTCACACTTGAGCATGACTTTCAACCCCAGTCCCTTTCTGGCTGTTTCAAAGGCCTCCAGAGCTTTTTCCAGAGGAAACCTATGGGTAACTAAGGGCTTTATGTTCACAGACTTGGAGGCAAGCATCGAAATTGCCATCGGCCACCTGTAAAAGATCACAAATGTCACATGAAACCTACAAGAGGAAAGAACCAGGTCCCCAAAGTCACCAAGCACAAGATCAGCTTGGCTCTATTTATTTATATAGCACTGTGGTTCTACAAGGTCTACTTGACAAACAATGGTAGAAATGATCTTATGATTTACAGTCTGGGAGTACAGTCTATTTATTCCCAACGCCTCCACCCCACTGCAATGTCTGTCACGAAGTCTAGAATTCCTTTGGCATGAAGGCATAAGGCATACAGAGGCCACTGTGAAAAGGCGGAAAATCCTCAGAGAAGCAGCCGATGATAAGCCATCCATATCCCTCTGGCTTGGCAGAGTTTATTGGAAAATGGCACTCTGCTGACAGAATGGTCAGACTATAATGGTGGGAGTAGGGGTACTGCTGGGGAAGGTGGTCCTGGGAAAGTTCCCCTATTGGGGAGAGCCTAGGGCCACAGAGCATGAGGTAGGTGAACTAAAACCCTCTCACTTCTCAGGGTGGGCCCTGGGATCTGGGGTGGAGACCAAGGGACTTGAGTTCTTACTGTTGTTCCCTTTTCTCTCCTTCTTTCAGGGGGAAAATGAAGAGCAGGCCACTTGAGGAAATGAAGAGACATGCTTCCTTCAAGATCCCCCACCTTTCCTTCTTCCCTCTGCCATCTCTGCCCTCCTGTTTTTTACCAGGAGTGATGCTCTCTCTTCGGACTCTGACCATGACATGCGGGTGTCAGTATGGCTCAGGAATGCTCCCCATGAATAAACGGAGGCAACTCTTGGTCCCAGAGGCTGAGCAGGGGTCTTGCCAGCTGATCGTCCCCGCCGCCCCCAGCCTACCCACCACATACTCACGTGTTGCAATATCGAAACACGCCCTTGATGTCCACCTCCCGGATGGCCGCATGCACCAGGGGCACAGTGGTCATCTCAGGGCCCAGCCCTACGAGCACCAAGGTCCCACCAGAACGAGTAGCCTGAAGAGGAGATGAGAACAAGAAAACCCAGAAGATCAGAAAATGCAGTCTTTCCATTCAAAAGGACTTTTGTCACATAAATATCTGTTTGCATCAGGTGAGTATCCAAATACTCCAGAGAATACGATTCTTTCTCTACCATTGAGCTCTTCAATGTCAGCCAAACCTAACAGAGCAGTGGAGTTATCTTCTTGGAGGATCCTGAGATCATACACTTTACCAGTGGAGGACCAGGCCCAGTGGGAGCCCCTTCCACTGTCCACAAGATCCTAGGCAACAGCCCAGGATCTCCAGACCCCAGTGAGAATCTTCCCTACAAACAAGCTTAACCTTCAGCTCCTGAGCATCTCTCAGAGCTTTACTAATTCCATACCAGGTGCTGGCTGAGGTACCTCCTCATCTTAGCACCCACCCCTCCTCCAGAATGTCAATTCCACAAAAGACAGGATCTTTGTCAAACCTCTAAGGAACCACCCTCTTGGTGAGGAAACTACCAAGCACATACAGATGGGGAGAGCCATTAGAATTCTATGGCTTGAACATTGCCTTATTTAAGCACACTGGCTGACATTTGGAAATATTTTTGTTCCAGAGACATTAATCCCAATAGTATCATCAGCCACAATGGATTTTGTCTTCCTTGAACATTTATCTGCCTTATCAGTTCTGACTTGGCGTGGGCCAGACATGGAAATTTCTCCTGATAATCTCTACCTGATTCCACAAGAAGGCTGTGCCTGCTCCAGAGATTTTTGGAGATCACTGTGGCCAGTGCTGTGAGAGACAGAAGAATAGTCCACTTGCCTCAGTTTTCATGACAGTTGCCAGCAGCAAGCACTTACTGGAACCATTCTAAGTTTAACCAGTGGAGCTGCAAAGAGGCCCGCACCACAGCCTCTATCTTTGAGGGGAAGGATACACCATGAAGAGAGGCCTGTAGCATGGGGGTGACTCTGGAATTTACATGTTGGATGGATCTGTGAGACCCTCTCAACCAGCTTCCTTGTGTGTAGGATCAGGATGACGCCTCCCAAACAGAGCGGTTGGCCTAACAATCCTAGTGCTCAGCACTAGGTTGGGCTCACTGTCTGGCATGTTTTTTGTTTTTAACTGAAGCACAGAGTTCCTGACAAACCACTTGTGACTTATGAACACTGTTGGTAACGGGGGAGGCTCTCTCCCCACTGGAAAAGGTGGGGTGGGGTGTAGAGTCAAAGTTGTGACTGAGCCACACAAAACTTGTGAGAAATTTTCTTGGAAACTGTTTCCCTATTCAAATTTCCTTTCCACCTAGTGAGGAGGAGGACGACGACGAATACTGCCAAATGGCCATCCCAAGGTGCCAGGATGCTGACCACAGACAAAGGAACGCTTGGACTAGCTGACCATTGTTTTGTGGGTGTGACCTCTGCACCAAGATGACATGAATTCTACCCTAAGCATTTTCCACGTCTCCTCCCAAAGATTTTCTAGTCACGAATCTGGCAGGAAAGTGACTCTCGGGTATGTCTATATAAGGTGCCTCCACCTAACCTGCCCATTGGCAGGGTGGCCTGCAGCATTCTGTAGTGTCTGTCATGCAGAATGGCTCCATTCCTCACTTGGGAGAAGTACCAGCTTCAGGCGTGGTGAGGCCCTTGGGCATTTACCTCTGCACCCACCTCAGGGAGCCTGGCAATGGGGCCCCCACCATCAACAGCTAGAGAGAGATGCCAAGTGTTCCCAGTGCTTTCCAGGCAGCGGAGAAGAGGAAGAAAGTCTTGCATTGTGAAGCCATGTCTTTTCCTGCCTCTCTGTGGATGGGGGTTACTGACTTGGCCAACAACTTGGCCAAGGTGGCCAACAACTTGAAGATGGCTGGATGCACCTTATGCATCAAAGCCCCCAAGGTCCCCAGCACGAAGCCAGGGCACTGCAGGTGCCCAAGACAGGTCACTTGTTGACTGATCACACAGACCCATCACCCTCTGAGTTTTGGGTTCTCTTTGCCCCTTCCCACAAGGCAACCATTATCTCTGACAGTGGAGCAGAGGGTGAGCTGGCCCCGACTGGAACTTAGGACAGAGCGAAAGTGGCAGCTGTTCCTCTCGCGTCCCACCTCTTCCTCTCACCCCCAATGCCAGGGGCATCCTGGTGGGCAAATGACTAGGCACCTCGGCCAGGGTACCAGGCCGGCATTCCCCAGCAAGTCTTGAGTGGGGCAAAGTGCCCTTTTGGATGACCCAGCTGTGACTCAGAAGGAAGGAGGAAGCCTGTGCTGCTGTGGGACAGCATTGTGGGAGGCAGGGCAGAAGTGCCCGGAGGGTAGAGGGGACAGGCTGCTGCTACTGCTGTCCTCAGCCCTGTCCCTCCCTCCTAGCATGGCTGCCCACCGGCTCCTTGTCCCCTCCTTCCCTTCTCTCCTAAGCAGCAGACAGAGTAAGAAAAGCTCAGGCATTGAGGCAGTGTGCTCAAGTCAAGTCACCAGGCCTCTTGTGGTGAAATGTGGAAAGGGTAACTAGTCTTCATCTGGTGCACACTGACAGCACATTTATAAAGCACCCAGCAGAAGACCCAGCGCATGGTAGGGGTGGAACCTAGAAGGTATTCTTTCTCCCCTCATTTCATCATACTTGGATCCATCAACACCACTTCCCACCCTCGTGTGTCTATGTGCCCCCTGCCACTCCCCTTTCCTGGCAACTTCCCATAAATTATGGGTGGATCCCTGAGGGTCAAATCAGGCATTGGTAGCTTATCCATTCCCAGGTCTGGGAAAGAAGAGTAGCAGCTAACTGTGACTCTAAAAAACCACCCCACCTTTGTGACTACATTAATGGCTGTTGCTTTTTAACAATGACTCAAAGACTGCAGTTTTCCTCAATAAAGGAAGAAAGGGATTTCCCACACACAACTAAGGCATGGCTCTCCCTTCCTCCTGTTTTTTTTTTTTTTGCCAAGAGTCCTTTTATGATCACAGATATGATCACTTAAGGGGTGGGTCTCTTAACATCTTTCAAGGGCCATATACAGCTGTTACCTCATTGAAGCCTCACATTGAAGACTCAATAAGGAAGGATGTGAAGCAAGTGAGATGAAACAAAAACCAGAGATACCGAGATCACCTCATTTTGTCTGGGGGTGGGGGGTGGTCACAGGAGAGGGTAGTGGAGACACTCGGGTGCCAGCACCCCTTACTGCTGCCTGCCATGTGCCAATGCCCCAAAGCTGCCCACCAGCTCTGGCCACCCTCATCCGACTCACATAGATGCCTGCCTGGATGGCAGGCTCCGCCCCTGTGCACTCGATGGTTACTTCCGGCTTGCACCCCAGCAGACCTTCCACTTTACTGGCGATTTCCTTAGGGCTCTCCTTGGAAATCCGAAGGACGTTATCAGCCCCAACCTCCTTGGCTTTAGACAACCGAGAGGCAGACAGATCTAAAGGGGAACAAAAAGCTTCTTTACAACTGAGAACTGGCTGGCGGATTAGGGAGAAAAAGGTAGAGGTGCAGGTTTTAATGGTAGTGAAGCTCAGATGTAGTGGGTGGTGTCCACGAGACCAGCACACATACTCTCTACACCTTCATAGGCTCCCACACACACACCACACAGCTGCACATGTGCAAGCTCTCCTTCCCCCTCCCCCATCTCTCTCTCAGATCACTTCTCAGATACCCACACTGTTCTGCACCCCCACACACCCCTATACACACCACACCACTGCATACACACTCCCTCTCTGACAGGTAACTGCTCCTCACATATAACACTTGTAGATACCTTCTACACACACTCTGATACCTTATTTGCACACAAAACATACTTGCTTATAACCCTACTCCCCTTTACACATACTCTACACAATGCTACATACTTACTCATACCCACATTCTTTCTCACAGATGCCTTCTACACACACACACACACACACACACACACACACACACTCTTCTATACCCTACATGCTTCCATACATACTTCCCTGACCCACACATGCTGTCACAGATAAGCTCTCCTCACACATACACACATTTCCCACCCATACCACACACCTCACACACAAACACCCTCTAATAAACATATACATCCCACTAACTCTACATCACACACACACACAAGCACACCTTCTGTGCCTCCTGGGTTTGGCTAAATGGGCCAAGGGCTAAGCCACTTCTTAGAATCAAGTGAGCAGTAGGGGCATCTGAGGTCCACACATAAAGATCCAGGCCCTCTTCTCCACAGCATCTACCCTCTCCCAGAAGCTTCAAAAGAGCCTCCTCCTGAGCCCTGAGATGGTCATCCCTGGGTGGGATTTTCAGTGCTGGAACCCAAGGGAAGAAAGGAGAAGCCTGTTTAGAAACCCAGGACCCCAGGAAGAGAAGAGTTCTTATGCCCTTGCCCCAAACTATAGGCCAGCTGTTTCCTCTTCAAGGAGATTTAAAAAAATTTACTACTTATTTTGAGAGAGATCGCACAAGCAGGGGGAGCTGCAGAGGGAGAGGGAGGAGCAGATTACCTGCTGAGCAGAGAGCCTGATGCACATCTTGAGTCCAGGACCCTGGCAGGCGCCAAACCGACTGAGCCACCCAGGCACTCCCCCCTTCAAGGAGATTTAAAAAGAAAACCTTCTTACCAGTCACCAACACTTGAGCTGCACCCATCGCCTTGGCCACAATCACAGTGACCAGTCCAATCGGCCCTAAAAAAAGCAGGAAATGGGAGATGTTTGTGAAATGTTAAACATCAGCTCATCAGCTCTCCCCCTTGTCCAGGCCAGGCTAGGAACCCTATCTTTTGTGCACCTCTAGAATCTATCCCAGTGCCTCACACATGCTGAGACCTTAACAACTGTTTGAATGCGTAAGTAAATAAATATATGAAGAATTGTTCTCTACATGAAATTTTGCTCCTAGTGCTGAGTTCTATTTATTTCTCTCAGACCTCAGAGCTAGAAATTTGCCATTTACTCTCGGATACTGCTTGGGGATAATATCAAAGAACCAGAAGGCTCAAGGAAACATATATTTATTAAGAGAATAAGATGTCTTAGAAGGTCTGGATACATTGTCCTGTTCTCTCTTTGACCCCTACCTTCTTACACCCCATCACATCTCCCCAAGGAGAGATACATCCTTTACAGGTCCCCTCTGAGGGCTACCTTGGACAATGTCATTAAGTGAACTGGCCCCCTGGATTGACCCAGCTGCTCAGGAGTCTCTAAGTCGTTCGGGTACCTAAAAATCAGCCCAGAGACCACCTGCTCCCCACAGTATCTGCATGCTAGATGACATAGCTTTAATACAAAAAACCAGACCCACAAAATGAAGCTATGCAGATTATCTTTGAGGATTGGCTTTTTCACAATGCCTTTGAAAATAATTTTGTTGAGTTCCCTCCAAAATCAAAACATTGGAAAATAAATGACCAAAAAAGAGGTGATTAGCTAAACAAACTACAGTGGGATATCATACAGCTCTTAAAAATTGTGTCATAACTTTTTCATCTAGTGTCATGGAAAGATGTTCATCATATACTACTTTTTTTCTTTAAAGAAGGTAAAATAAAGTGTGTTTAGCATGGTCTCATTTTAAACAAAACCTGAAAGATTCTACATGAAAATATTTACTGCGGTTCTCTCCGGCTGATAGGTGACAGGGATACGGGTCAACCTCTCTGTATATATGTACACGTGTGATACGAATGACTCCTTTTTCTATGTCAAAAAGGTATTACTTATGCAGGTTTAAAACAGAGATGTCACCAGAATACTACACTCTGTGAGCTCACTGAGGCAAGTCTGTTTTACACCCATCATCTCTCTTAGTCCTACAGTCACTTAGCCCTGTCAAAATCAGTCCTGAAAATGTATGAGGACTAACTCAAAATGGATTAGACTTGAACATCAAGACTTAAAACCATTAAAACTCCTAAAAGAAAACACAGGCCGTAAGCTCCTTGACATCAGCCTCGACATGATTTTTTTAATTTGACACAATTGAATGAAAGCAGAAGTAAACATGGGGAGCCACATCAAACTAAAAGGCTTCTGCACAGCCAAGAAAACCATCAACAAAATGAAGAAGGCAATCTGCCAAAGGAGAAAAAATATTTGCGAATCATATCCGGTAAGAGGTTAATACCCAGAAACTATAGACAGAACTCATACAACTCAATAGCAAAAAACCAAGCAATCTAATTTTAAAAAGGGCCAAGGATCTATAGACATTTTCCTTTTTCTTTTTTTTCTTTTTTTAAAGTAATCTCCAATGTGCATGCTCTACTGACTGAGTCAGCCAGGCACCCCCAAGCAGACATTTTCCCAAAGAAGACGTACAGATGGTCAACAGGTACTTGGAAAGGTGCTCAACATCATTAATCATCAGGGAAATACAAATCAAAACCACAGTGAGGTATCACCTCACACCTGTTGGAACAGCTACTATTAAAAAGACATGAAATAACAGGTGTTGCTGATGATGTGGAGAAAAGGGAACCCTCAGGCACTGTTGGTGGGAATGTAAGTTTCCAATCCCTGTGGAAAACAATATGGAGGTTCCTCACAAAATTAAAACTAGAACTACCATGTAATCCAATAATTCCACTTTTGAGTATTTATTTGAAAAAAATGAAAATCACTACCTCAAAAAGATATATGCACCCCCTTGTTCACTGCCCCATTACTTACAATAGCCAAGATATGGAAACAACCTAAGTGTCCACCCATGGAGATGAAGACACAAAGAAAATGTGGTCTGTATGTACACAGTGAAATATTATTCATAGTCGTAAAAGGAAATCTTGCCATTTGTGACACGGATGGACTCAGGGCATTACGCTAAGAGCAATGAATGAGACAAAGACAAATACTATATGATAACGCTTACATGTGGAATTTAAACAAACAAAGAACAACAAAGCTCACAGATACAGAGTACAGATTGGTTGCTGGGGTGAGGGTGGTGAGAGGTGAGTGAAAGAGGGGGAAGAAGGTCAAAAGATATAATCTTCCAGTTATGAGATAAATACATCACAGGGATATAATGTACAGTGTGGTGATTATAATAAATAATACCATATTGCATATCTGACAGTTGCTATGAGAGTAGATCTTAAAAAGTTCTCATTGTAAGAAAAACTTTGTGACTATGCATAGTGACAGATGTCAATTAGACTCTGGGTGGTGATCATTTTCCAATATATACGAATATCAAATCATTACATCGTACATCTGAAGCTAATGTAATATGTCAATTATACCAAAAAGAAAAAGCTGTATGAGAAACACCGACCAGATCACAACCACAGGGAGCATGAGTGTGCTATCTGTGTCACTAGCATTAGACACCTTGAATGGTTTTGTTTGTTCAGGTTTGTTTGGGTGGCTGGAAGCAGGGGTGGAAAGAAGGCAGCCATCTGTAACCCCAACAAGCAGAGTGCTGGCTCATGGTGGACCAGGCTCCATTCCTTCCACTGGTCATGAAAAGGTCCCACCTCATTCCTGGATGGACCAGGAGACCACTTCTCTGGCATGATGTGAAAGTTCTGGAAGTTGCCTTTCCCTCTACTACCAAAAACATGTCCCTGGTTTCCTGTCAAGTTAAAAAATAATTGCAAATTGCTTTCTTTAAATGACCGAAAGGGTTATATTGCCTAGGAAATGACCGGAGTTACTATTATGCCTGCAGACGGTTTATTTAGCAGAAAGTTCTGGTCATGGAGGGAAGGGGACACCATAATCCTCCCCACCCCCAGAAAGATTTAAGGACCAATTTCAGACATTGCAGTGGGGGTGGTGGGGAGATGAGATAGGCAGAGGGATCTCCACATTCCCCTTAAGGAACTCATAACTAGGGGGTCATCTGTTTCTTACCAGCTCCACACACAAAGACCTTGTTCCCCAGGGTGATTCCAGCTCGCCGGCAGGCATGGATCCCCACAGACAGTGGTTCAATCAGGGCCCCTTCTTCAAAGGTGACATTGTCAGGAAGCCTGGGGTGTCATTCAACACACTCAGTTAGTCCCTTTGGGTTAATAAAAACAAGAGCTAATATTTACTGAGCATTTATTTATGTGCTGAGTAATTTACATATATTCCCTCATGTAAATCCTTGGAGAGTTCTGGGGCAGGTAGTAATACTCCCATTTTACAGACAAGGAAACAAAACCTTGGAGAATTCAATTACTTGCTTCTAAGGTTCAAAACTAGTGACAGGCTCAAAGGGTTTGAAATGGAAACCAGATACGCCTGATTTGAGAGCCCAGGCCACACTGCCCTGCTCTGAAAATTGTTCTTTGGACAAGTCACTTCGGTAAATGAACACATTATGTTTGCTTTAACATGTTATCAGAGACAAGGTATGGTATGGCTGTCACTAATAAATAAATAATTTCAGGGCGCCTGGATGGCTCAGTCGGTTAAGCATCTGCCTTCAGCTCAGCTCATGATCCCAGGGTCCTGGGATAGAGGCCCGCATCGGGTTCCCTGCTTAGTGGGGAGCCTGCTTCTCCCTCTCCAGCTCCCCCTGCTTGTGTTCCCTCTCTTGTTGTATCTCTCTGTCAAATAAATAAATAAAATCTTTTAAAAAAATAAAACCAAAAAAATGAGAAGTTCATCTAACAAGAGGTTAATATAACCACATGTCAGCATCTCATCTGCTTCTCAAACTTATGTACAATAATCCCAACTATGAGCAGCTTTGCAGAACCGTGATTTAGAACCTGGCATCACTCTGTTGTCCCCATATGGTATGTTCCAGAAGAACCACATCTGATGGCAGCAGCTGCCTGGCTGTCCCTGGACATGTCATGATGGGGAAAGGGCCTGTCTTCCGGGCAGCTGATTAAATGCTGTGTCACCTTCTCCACTGGGCTCTTGGTTTTCACTTGAGTCCACCTGACCCTATTACCTACCCCACTGACGATGACAGTAAACATTTGCATAAGGCTTTACAGATTAAGGGCTTTTTCATCCATTTATCTCATTTGATCCTCACCATGACCTTGTCAGGCAGGAAGGACAGGCTTTATTTTTACCTTTATTCTACAGAAGAGGAAACTGAAACACAATGACATTCAGAGACTTGCCCAAGGTTACAAGGCTAATGAGCGGGAAAGCAAGACTTGAAGCCAGGTCTCCCCGCTCCACATCCTGCCTGTCCCATTACTAGCTGCCTCCTGGTACAAGTGGCTCTGTGGATAATATCTCATTTCTGCATGGTCCTCGCTGGCCGGTAGTTTTATTCAGTGCCCCAAACCTCCACATGCTAGAACATAAAATCCCTCAAGTTTGAAAGGAAAGACAGATGGCAGCCAAAGTGCTCATTCCCGTGATGCATCACAGAATAATGAGGCCTGAAGTTTGCCGGCCGGCTGCCCCACCTTAACCCCCCATGCCGTCCCTCTGCTTTTCTCCCATAATCCCCCCCACTTCAATCCTCACCTGCTTAGATTGCCTCCATCACCCCTTGTACCCACACCACCCACCCCACCGATTCTATAAAAGGGACAAAAGTTTGAAATGAAATAATGAAGACTCCCAAACTCTTCCAAGGAACCTTCAAACCACACTCTCTCTGGGACCTCCTTCCCCGACCTTGTTCAGTGGGGATTGAGGGAGAGGGAGGATGAGAGCACCCTAAGTTTCTTCTCAGCTCCAATCAATCATGACTTTATAAATACCAGAGAATAAGACAACTTGGTGGTTTTCACAATAAGGTTGAGGGAATAACCAAAGGGTAGAGGATGATCAAGAAGCCAAGGGGGAAGCAGGAAGATAAAAAGAAAGGAAATAAGGTCGGTAGGAAAATAAAGAGGTTGTGACAGTACAGGAATCCTCATACAGAAACCAGAGAGGAGGACGTGAGCAGAAAGCACGCTGGGAGGAAAGGAGAGATGGGGGGCTGCCTGTCCCCTATTCTGCCCTCCCATTAACATCACCAACACACCCTCCTCCACCACCCCTATCCCAAGTACAAGGCTTCCTTTCAGACCTAATCTGTACCTATCCCCCAGACACAAGGCCATGGCTAGGATACATCATGGCCCCACTTACCGAGCACCTACTATGTGCCAGGCCTCATGTTGAATACTTGACATGCTTTTCTCATTGAATTCTGTCAGTAAGTCTATGCATTTCATCATATTGGTGCTATTACCATCTCTATTTTACAGACAAGGACCTTAAGGATGCAAAGTTTAACAGGCTGAAGGTCACACAGTTGGTAAACAGCAGAGACCCATGGTCAGTTTTAAACTTTACCATTTGCTTTTCTGCCTTTCAAGAAAACCTTGTTTGGTACCTCCACTTGGAAAGGGCCCCGACAAAGTGGGCTGGTTCAGGAACCACTTGCTGACAGGTGGACTCTACACCCATAAACTGCTTTCTTCTAGAGCAGTTCGGTGTTGACTTAAACTCATCACGAGGTCTGGCCTGTGACCCCTCTCAAGGCTTGCAGTGGGCACTAGAAAACTCAGATTTGTCCAACTGCCCCTGTGACTGGCAGCTAGCCTCCTTCAGGCAAGCCCCATCCTGGCCAATGAAGTCACAGCTGGGGCCATGTCGGGAGGGAGGAAAACATACCTGCCAGAAGGTCAGAAGGAAAGTGGCGGATCAGCACCCACAGCTTCATGGGCTGGGACCCATGTGGAAGGGGCAATACTTCGCCTCTGCCAGATACAAGTCCTCACCCCAAAACCACTTCAAGAGTTGGGATAGGGTAGTGAGCCCAGGACAGGAACCCAAGCTTGACTCCTGGCTCTTCCGTGTGCCCAATAAGCCTCCTCCCTCTAGCCTCTGCACCCCCTCCACCAAACTGCCCACCTCACCACTGTTCTTATGAAGGTTAATTCAGATAAACGGTGCAAAGCATTGATGACCACAAGGCCAGGCATGGAGTACTAATAACTGTGACTCCATATGCATTGCCTTATTGGGTCTTCAGGTGACTTAAATGAGACCAAAGCAGCGGAAGGTGATGTCATTTCCCCCAAAGTCACTCACTAGGAGGAAGGGGATCCAGGGTCCCAGCTCAGCGCTGGCTCCAGGCCATGCTTCCTCCAGAAACCCCCAGTGGCTGCTGTTACTGGTGTTGTGAGCAGGGTCACTGCTGTGCTAAGTTCTCTTTCCTGGGAGCTGCCTTGGAAACCAGTAATGGAGAACAAACTACAGCAGGTTATCTGCAGGATAGCTGGAAGGGAGTGAGTTCGGCAAAAATCTTCTATTGTTGCCCTAGGTGAGGGGAGCTCAATGCCAAGACTAAACCAAGTGGTGTCAGTCAGTCTCGGCCCTAGGCAAGCTACCTTCCCTCAGTGCCACCAAGAAGGGCCTGTCGAGGGGATGCTTCGTGTCTGGAATTACGAGCTGAAAAGAACAAATCACCACAGGAAACTAGAAGAAAGAACCCCAGCCAAAGGGGGAGAGGTCCCAGGTGGCCAGGCCAGGTCTCAGGCACTAACTTGTAGCAGAAGTCAGCGTTGTGCTTATAAAACCGGCAGAGGTTCCCGTCATCAGGGGGTGTGGCACAGAAGAAGATGGATGGCGACAGATTGTACCGGCCAATCTTGCAGAATTCATCCATTTCTCGCAGAGCACCAGGCTCGATGGCAACACGATCTCCTGGAGAGGAAAATGCGAGGGCAGTGCTTCTGTGAAGGGGGCCATGCTCCTGGGCAGGTGCCAGTGGGGAACTCTGTCCCAGAGAGCCACCCCCTTCCCTGGGACCCAGGGTATACCAGACAAGTCCTATCCTAGAGCTGCCACAGAAAACTTGGGATGCAGGATAGACTCACACTCTGGGAGAGAATGACCAGCCCACTTCTCCACAGACTGGTCTGACCTACCCTTTCACCCACTCATGGAACAAGCCAACCCCCCACCCCCAGCTCCACAATCACTTCCCAGCTTGGGAAACAGAGACCAGCTCCCTCTCTAAGGTAAGCCAGGACCCAGCTCAAGCTGCTGTGTGGAGTTCGCAGGCTTTTCCCCCTTCACATGCTTTGAAAATATGGGACAAGTTCATACCAAACGCAAGAGCCAAAATTACGGCATGTCTTAAGTTCAGTCTGGTTGTATTTAGATATAATTAGGAGTTAACAGAGTCTTGGGTTAGGAGGCTGGCTCAGGAAAATGACCCAGGGAGGTCTGAGACTCTGGTGGAGAATAACACTCAGGCTTGTGAACTAGTGTCCTTCTCCTCTTGTCCACTTGTCTCTGGTTCTTTTTTAAGGTAAAATTTAGGTATTGATAAAATGGGCCAGATTACATGGATCACTACATAAATTCTGATAAATGTACTCACCTGTGTAATATGAACACCCATCATAATACAGAACATTACCACTACCTCGGAAATGCTTTCCTTCGTGTCCCTTCCCAGTCACTCCTCACCCCCTACCCCCAGGGGCTGCACAAGGTGAGCTGGGGCCTCCTTAGCCTGACACGAGTCACCCATGGGAGGTTTGCCCTTTACTAAACAGACACGTTAATTTTATGTCCTTTTGTGTAGGAAGTGCCTATAGAAGAGTGCAGAGTCCTGGTATGTAGCTAGTGTTCATTAACAATAGTGGGGCAGTGATGATACTAGTAGTAGTAGTAGTGGTAGTAATATAAGTAGTATTAACTATTTTTATTGTATTTATCATTATTATAACTATCTGAGCTGGTGTTATTGAACAGGAAATTCACACTCTAAGATAGATAGCCAGATTGTATATAAGTTAGGAGTTCTTCCATGCCTTATTTATTCTTTAAGATTTATGTTAGAATTTTAGAAACAAACGTAAAGAACTACTCAGTGAGTGCTTTTCTTCTTTCTAGACTAGTTGATTAGAACTTTCAGTCCAAATCAGCAAGGGAAACACTTCAATAAAAATTTTTGTGTTTTACAGATGCCTGGGTGGCTCAGTCTGGTTAAGCATCTGCCTTCTGCTGAGGTCAGGATCCCAGGGTCCTGGGATCGAGTCCCACATGAGCCCCACATCAGGCTCCCTGCTCAGCAGGAGGCTGCTTCTTCCTCTGTTGCTCCCCCTGCTTGTGCTTTCTCTCATTCTGACAAATAAATAAATAAAATCTCTAAAAAAGGATCCACAAAAGTCCCTGCAACCACCAAAATGTGCTGTTCCACTTGTAGGCACCCCTCACTGCTTTCTCTGCAGCCTTTGCTCCAAATTATGTTCTAACATTGACAATGAGTTCTTCAAGCTAGGATTCAAGATCCATCATCATCAGGTGGGGTTTTGTATGTCTCAGTTTTGTCTTCTAATGGTTATGTTACAATAACAGAATAATAACTCACAGTTGTATAGTGCTTTTTAAAGAGGGATTTTTATACAGATTATTAATTTTTAACATCCCCACTAACTCCCCAACACAGAACCTCTACTCTGAACAGCACAGAATTATTAGCAACCCAGATATGTTACACTTGCCTCCATAATTTTATTTTTCTGTTCCTCTTAACCAGAATATTCGCTTCTGACCTCTTCACGAACTCAAATACAAAACTGTTCTCAGTTCTCCAGTTGCTGGACAGCCCAGTGGTTCTGAGCACTTGCTTCAGTGTCAGAAAGACCAAGGCTGGGACCCCAGCTTGGGATTCGCTGGTGTGGGACCCCGGGCAATCACCATGGTTCGCTTTCTTCATTTGTTAAGGAAGAAAATAATGCCTACATCAGAGTTGTTTCAACAACGAAATATATAATTATACATGTAAATATTTAACATGGAGGCTAACAAATAGTTAAATCAATGAATATTAGCTGCCCTCTTCTTCCTGTAATTATTATTGTTCAACGTCCAGCTCAAAGACCTATCTCTTCCATGAACCTTCTTTAAACACCTCTGCCTACAACAAATGCCCTTTCCTTGAACTGTGAGAGCCCTATTCTTTTTCACACCTAATAGCACATTATGGTTTTTTGTATTTTTTTTAAAGATTTTATTTATTTATTGGTTAGAGAGAGAAAGAGAGCACAAGCAGGCAGAGTGGCAGGCAGAGGCAGAGAGAGAAGCAGGCTCCCCGCTAAGCAAGGAGCCCGATAAGGGACTCGATCCTAGGACCCTGTGATCATGACCTGAGCTGAAGGTGGTGGCTTAACCGACTGAGCCACCCAGGTGTCCTGCACATTATGGTCTTATTCTCTAATTACTTCTATTTATGTATGCCCTGACGTCTGATCTCCCCAACTAGATCAAAGTATCCAGGGATCGGTTCTTCTCAATTTTCTGTATCCCTCAAAGCACCTGACAGAAAGTGAGACCCATTGTAGATGCTGACCAAGCACTTCTTATAACTTAAATTTAAAGAACCCCACTCTGTTTTGACTGATATTAAGGGATCTTGTCCCACAGGTAAGAATCAATCAGTGGCTGTTGGAAACTATGAATCTTCCTCTTGGGGATAACGCCACAAAACGTCAGGGGCTGCCTCGACTTCTATTCAGGATGAAATGAAACCCAAGTCCAGCTTCTTCAGGGCCTAACAGTTCCTCTCCGCGTAGTTGTGCTGAGGCAGTCTCATAACTGACACAGAATGGCGTCTCCTGCCATCCTTCTCCTTGTCTCGAATCATCTGCTGTCATCACCAGGCTGTACAGTGGCCTCCTCAGCAAAGGAAGGATACAGTCAACAGCTGGCCTTGTCACACAGCTGGGATGTAATTCACTGTGTTGGGGAACATCACAGGCTACCACAGCTGCGAAGTCCTCCCTCCAAGAGAATGAACTAAAATCTAGAAAAATACTCATGGTTTTCCAGTCATCCAAGAAGATCAAAGACTATATCCAAGGTGGACTACATCCACCTGTTTCTCAGCAGGTGGAGGCAGTTTGTAGTTCCTATGGCTGGAATATTTCCCCCACCCCTATACCTAGCTTATCCCTTAGCTGCCTTCAGATGTTGGGTTAATTGTTCCTCCTTCAGAAGAGCCAGATCTGGTTAGAAGGCACTGATCAAACCGCTATTCTTCTCGGGCCCTCAACACAACAGTAACTAAGCAGCTGTATGTGTGTTCCAGACCTGTCTTCCTCTGTGAAAAGTCACATTCCATGCGTGTAGAAATGGAGACTGTCTTATTCACTGCTGTAACTCCCTGGCTTCATAGAGGGCCCGGCCCCAAGAAAGTACACACAAATATTCATTTATGCTGAGGAATAAATAAATCACTTAGTTGAAGGGTTTTGCTGACCTGGTTTTAGGTGCTTGACCAGTGATCCCACTTTTACGACTGTCCCTGAAGCTTCATGACCCAGCACCATAGGCTTTTCCACAATAAAATCACCAATTCGACCATGCTGCCAGTAGTGGACGTCTGAGCCACAGATCCCAACAGAATGCATCTTCAGCAGCACTTCTGAGAAGAGGAAGGAGAAAACAAGTGAGGGAAGGAACGATGACGCCTCTGCCGTCTGAGGCACCAAACATGCTTTCCCTCTGGACTCTACTTATTGGGGTGCCTGGGTGGCTCAGTCAGTTAAGCGTCTGCCTTAGGCTCAGGTCATGATCCCAGCATCCTGGGATGGAGTCCCACATTGCGGTCCCTGCTCCTTCCTCTCCCTCTGCCCCTCCCCCATCCATGCTCTCTCTCATTAGCTCTCTCTCAATAAATAAAAATATTTCAAAAAAACAAAAACAAACAAACAAACAAAAAACCCCAAAGAAAAACAGTAGTTGTGCTGTGAGGGCATTTTCTAGATGTAATTAACATTTAAATAAGTAGACCCTGAGTAAAGCAGAGTACTCTGCCTAATATCGGTGGGCCCCATCCCATCAGTTGAAGGCCCTAGGAGAAAAGACAGGTTTCCTGAAGAAGGAATCCTCCAAGACTGAAGCATCAACTTTTACCTGAATTTCCAGCTTGCTGGTCAGCCCTACAAATTTCAGACTTGCCAGTCCTCACAATCACATGAGCCAATTATTTAAAATAAATCTCTGCCCTCTCCCTAGAGACATATATAATAAACCTATATATAAACACATCTATGTAATAAATCTCTTTCTCCTCTCTTTCTTGGTTCCATCTCTCTAGAGAACTCTAATATACTGTATAAACAAGATATTATTAATGGGGAAAAAATGTATCAACCGTCTAAGGGAAAAACTGTTTTCTAGGAGATAACTGATGCCACACAATTAATATGCTATGCCTGCTTCTTACCGATCTTGACAGAAAGGCTGGCAAAATCTAGGCTTGGCAACACTTTGTGAGCATCTACGTTCTTCATGCCTGTCGTTATGTTTAAGAATGCAGGTTTAATTTAAACCATTCCAAAGGTTTCAAAGGGTATTTCCCCCTCACGGGTTTGAATAAGTGAGATTTGTTGGTATTGTTGTTGTCAGTTTTCCAAGTTAAAAATAACGATGCCACCGAGCCCCTTTGCTGAAGTAAGTGCTGAAGGATTACTGGCCTGGTCTGACTCAGATGACCACATTGCAAGTATCTCCCTGAGAAAAAGCTCTGTCTTAGAAAGACAAAGAGACCTAAAGCTCTGCTGTGCATTCAGGTGTCTCACACCCTGCCCTTGCCACAGATCATCAGCAGTCCACCCCAGGTGTGGCTCCGTAGAACCTTCTCTGTCCTTGGCCTTGGTAACAGAGTAAGAAATGGCAGGGTGCAGATGGAGATCAAGGTAGAAGAAATTATCTGAGTTTCCTCTCTTCAAAGTTACCAACTTGTAATAGGAGGTTAAATCTGACTTGCTAGAATGCTAGCTGAAATTTACCATCGTTTCCCCTTCTAATTCAAGGGCAGCAAGAGACAAGTGAGAGCAGAATGCTAGGTCAGAGAGAGAAACAGCACCAAGGTCCTTTGAGTCCAAGACAGCCCTTGTTTGGCGACTTCTAGAATCCATACCGATTTCTCAGGACACGGTGAGGGGCCTCTTTCACTCCTCTAACAAGGTATCTTGGTGAAAATGCTTCAGCCCTAAATATGTATTACGTGCTGAACACTGATAGAAACAGCTATTGTCTGTATGCTTATCACTATAAATCAATAAGCCAGCTGACCTTTGAATAGCAAAGCTCTGGAGGCTCCAGGAACAATGCCTTCAGTCTGATGTTCACACATCCCCAACTCACCCAGGACACAGAGGACACCCGAGTGGTTGGGTATGGGGTGAGTTATCTATAGACACTTTTCGCCTTACTCTCAGCCTCAGTTCAGAGTCTTGCAGATTCTGAAGTGGGACTCCATGGTTGGGAGGGATTGGAAAACTGTCAGCAGGTTATCTGCCCCAGGGAACAGGGGCCATGACTTCCCCAGGTACACACAGCACTCCAGGAAATGTGCTTGTCATCTGGGCCTTACAGGCTCGCCCAGTGAGAGGCCAGAGGACTGGAACAAAGGTGGCAGGAAGCCTGCCCCAGAGTTGATCAGGACCCTGGGGCAGCACTCCATGCAGCCCCTCCCATCCCCACTGGACTGAAGGTCCTAGTCTTCCTAAAGTGACACTCTCTTTCTAATTAAGAGATTAAGTTCTATAGACTCACTAATTTTCAAAACTTTGGTTAGGGTTAGGACAGGATTTGGCCACTTGAATAGCAGTTTAAAGTACACAGAGTAACCCAACTCTAGGTTAGGTCAAATGAGGAATAACTCTGCCTTTGGTCCAGAGAGATATTTTATGTCAAAAACTCTGGGACAAGTCAGCAATCTGAGACGGTAACTCTTCTGAATCTATCACTGTTTACTTTATGTAGCAGTCAAGTTGAATCTATCTAGTCATGCTGTGGATGACAGACTAGGTTGACAGCCTAACAAAAAGATAGTTGTTGTTTTTTTTAAGATTTTATTTATTTATTTGAGAGAGAGAGAGAATGAGCGGGGGGAGAGGCAGAGGGAGAGGGAGAAGCAGTCTCACTGCTAAGTAGAGAGCCTGTTGAGGGGCTTGATCCCAGGACCCTGAGATTACGACCTGAGCCCAAGGCAGGTGCTTAAATGACTGAGCCATCCAGGAACCCCCAAAAGATAGTTTTTAATTGGAGGCAAAGTCATAAATAATAGGAAAAAAGGGGTAAGGAACAATGCACTGGTGTCTTCAGGTTAATAACAAACAACAAAATGTAAGTCGAGTATCCCAAGGACCTACCATTTGGGCCTGGTTCAGGGATAGGATAGTTCTCCTAAAGGAAATAAAAAGAGAAAAATCATTTAGCATGCATAATAACTTTCCCTTATGAATATTTTCAACTGTTTAGTCAATGTAGAGTTTCATTCAAATATTTTTTCTACGAATGAACACAGGTTCAGACCATAGGGCAGCTGCGTGGATGCCTGAGGGGGCCCCCTAAATCATGCTGTCTCTAATTCCTGACCTCACCCCACCCCATGGTGCAATTTGCCCTAGACTAATAAAAAAGTGTACTAAACGTTCCTCTAGGGAGAAAGGATGTTTGGACTGCCATCCATATCAGATCCTTCCCTTCTCGAAAACCACATTCTTAAGATAGAGATTTGTTTGGTCTGGGACACTCTTATAGGGAGAAGGGTGAAGGCATTTGGTAGTAGCACGTGAAGGCTCTGACCTCTAGACAGGCTGAAAAAAATCCACGCTGCTGCTCTTCCCTTTACATGCGCACACACCGACCAGCGCTCAGCCCTCTCTTCTGAAACCTCCCATGTGGAGTTTTAGAGACCCTTTGGGAACACATAGGACCTGCACCTCGGCCACTCCCCAGGTTCAAAAAGCAATCTGAGCTATTCGGCATTCATAGCTATTATGATTATTCACCAACTCTGCTTCCCACTAAAACGAGCTGGGAAATTCATGGTGACAAGAAGGAAGGACACCGTGTGGCCAAATCCAAGCATTCATTTTATGAATTCCTTGAAGGTGGCCAAGAAGACAAGGAAGCTGAGATGTTCATTGAACCAGCTATGCACCAGGCAATGTTCTGGCTTTACAGAACATTTACATACATCATGGCACAAGGCCCACAGTGTGCAGGAGAGAAACCCAAGGCTTGGAAGTGAAATAACTTGGTCAAAGTCATAGCGCCACAGAGTGGCTAAACCAGGATTAAACCTGACTCCTCAGCATGCCTCACTACATTCCACTGCACACCAAGGTGGAATATGGCTTTTCTCCTTCATTATCTCTGCCTCCAACCAAGCCAACCCTGAATACCCGGAAAAAAAATCAAGCTCAAAGCAACAGCTGGGCACACCAAGTAGGCCCTGGGTCGCTAGTGATTACTACTGTAAACATTTGTTGGAGGGGACGGAGCAGACCAACCTTCGCCCTACCAGCCCCCCAAAGCTGCAGTGACTTCCCTAGACACTAGAGGGTGCTGTGCAGATAGCCTGGCTTTTCCCTAGTGGCTGATTGCGTATTATCTCCTTGCAAACCAGCGTTTCCTTTCCGTTCTTTCTTGCTGACTCGAATCACCCTTACAACTCGGCTGGGCTCCTGACTCCCCTCTCTGCAGGAGACATGCCACGGAAGCACAGGACCGTGTTAAGATCAGCCCTTAAGTTTGTAAATGTTATCCTAAGCAAGGCTGTGGAGATCATGGTTGAGAAAGTTATCACCGCAAAACAAAACAAAACAAAAACAACTTGCTTTTCATTTGTGGTTCCTTGGAATGACGCTCGCCACAGTCCTCTGTTTGCTTAATCTCCTCTTCTGTCTCAGATTTCAGTGATGATATTCTTTCATTCACCCTACTCCTCATCTACCAGTTTCTTAGCTCCCCTGAGATCCCCAGCTTTCACTGTTACCCCCGCAGCCCTTTCATCCCCAAAGTTTTGTTATCAGGCATATTCATGGTTTTCTGAACAGGATTTCTTACCTTTCTTAAATGACAGTTAACAAAGGGATAAAGGGGAGTAGAGGTAACTGTTCTTTCCTGTAGTTATGTCAGTCTTCCAGCCTTTTTCATTTCCAGTCAGAAATACATCACATACATATCCTCCCTTCCAATCCCTCCAGGTCTCCCCCAAGCTCCCCCAATCAGTCATGGAAATACTTCAGGAAGAACTCTCTGTGAGAGCTTAGAATCATTCCAGGTGCCTCTTGCTTCCTGTTATCTTGGATTTCCTAAATATATTTTGTTAAGTTAGCCTGAAAGTTTATTTCCTAAATAGATCTTCATGGGCCCCCATCCTCTACTTCCACCTGCAGGGCTAAGTTCACACCCTCCGTGCCTCTTGCCTGGGTTGTAGTAATGGCCTTGACATGAGGAGAGATCAAGGGAAAATGCCTTTTCCCTCCTGCAGCTGACCCGAGTGGAGCAGGGGGTAAAGAACTCACACTCTGGAACTAAGCGATGTGCAAACCCTGGCTCCCCTCGCCAGTTGCATGACCTCAGGGCACTTACGCAAGCTCTTTGTGCCTTTGATTTCCCTCTCTGCATAAAGAGGATAATCATCAGACACAGTGCCCCACTCACAATAAGTAAGTTAGCTCTTATTACAAAAGAAGTAGAACTGAAGTCCTATTTCCTATCATTAACTCACAGTATGATTGAACCAGCTCTAGGCGGCCTTCCTTGTCCTTTTCCTCTTGCAAAGTGCGCTTTTTCAAAAACTGTTTTGGGGACAAGTTATTTCCCTTGTTGTCACGTCAATATTAAGAAAACTACACTGCTCCTTAAAAGGATGGCATTTGGGAGAAAGGGAAATAGGATTCGGGCAGTGTTTTAGCCTCATTCTACCAGGTGTTTTAAAGTATGTCAAGCCAAGCTCCCTGCCTTAGAGTGAGAACTTGGAGGCCGGCCTCACCTGGGGGCCTCCAAGCTTGCATTCGCCACCTCCTCCCACCTGCTAGACCTCCTGACAACCTGCCCACCAGCTGCCCCCCAGACTTATGAGCAGACCAGGCGACCTTACTTTGCTTAAACCTTCCAACTCAATTTTCCTCCTCCCTTGAGCATGTTTGGAGCATGGGAGGAAAATCCAAAGGTTTCCTAATTGGCCATTTGGTCATAAATGGCTTTGTTCTAGCCGCATTAGCCCTGACAAACTTGGGGTCAAAGTAGAAGGGTCGAACCCTCTCCCAAAGTCCACTGAGCCACACTCCAGCCCATGCTCTCAGGGCTCCAACCAGCCTCCTTCCGCTAACAATATTTCTAAAATACAAATCCCTTTAAAGTGCCCAGTGGCCCTGGTGGACCCCCCAGGCTCTGGAAGCCTCCTGCAATTCCCAGTACACCCTGGGGCTCACTCCCTCACCTCCTGGGACCACTTCCCCACCTTCAAGTTTCCACATGAGGCAGGAAGTGAAAGGAAGGGAGATATCTGGGGTGACTTCCTAATGCTTGTGGGAACTCAGGGAGATGGAGGTTTGGATGGGTTGGAATTGCAGTGCCTGGGGACATCCTGGTGGCGGGGGGGCTGTCCAATAGGTGGCTGTACTCCTGGGACTGGCAATCCATCTGGCATGGGTCAGGGACAGAGACTCAGGACTGTGAGACACAAGGGCAGACTGAAACTGTTACCTCCTGTGAGAAGACATCCCTGTCCTCATGGGGCTGGGAAGGTGGCCCCTTTCTCTCCTTTGAGCTTCCCAAGCACCTAGGACTGGATCCATACAGGATGGTTAAAAGACTATTTCATTCTCAGCTGTGATAAATAAGTCAATTTTTAAAAATTAATTTCCCCCTAATTCAAAATGCACAAACGTAACTGTGTATGATTACACCTGTTGATGGTTCTTTAAGCAAATATATGAAGTCTCTCATCTTTGTTGGATGTTCTAATGTGTTAGTAACATTGATTAAATGCTGCGTTCAGGTCTGGGAAATGGGACATTTACATTAAAAAATTATTTATCTAGCTGACTATCACTTCGTAAAATCTGAATATATATCCTCCTTCGTGTAAATCCGATTTTGAGGGAACTGCCAGTTTAACAGCCACACTAGAAGACTTACCGAGTGGATGCCAATACTGTGGAAAGTACGTATTTCTCCCCCTTCTTAATTTCTCTGTGATACATTTTAAAGATTTTATTTATTTATTTGACAGAGGGAAAGGGGTGGGCACAAGCAGGGGGAGCTGCAGGCAGAGGGAGGGAGAAGCAGACTCCCTACAGAGCAGGCAGCCTAAGTGGGGCTCAATCCCTTGACCCCAGGATCATGACCTGGGCTGAAGGCTGACACTTAACCAACTGAGCCACCCAAGCATCCCTCTGCCATGCAATTTTAAAAGAGAAATTTCCAAAAAATAAAAAATAAAATAAAAGAGAAATTTCCCCCATACCCATAGTCTAGCTTTTCCCTTCAGAATAGGGCTACTTTCACTACACCTCTTAGTAGTACTAGGATTTATTACATAAAATGTTAAGATTCTATTTGTGGTACTGCTGACTGCTGCCGCTACTTTTGGGGGGTGGGGAGTGAGCTTTCTAGGCCTATTGCAGACAAACTGTCCTTCCAGAGCAGTTGGCAGAGATGGCAGGATTTGCAGGATTTAATTTCCTGTTGTTTATCTGGTTTGGGTCTTGTTTTATTACTGAAACATAAGATAAAGGGAAGAGGTATTTCTTCCAGTTCTTTTCTTTTTTTTTTTTTTTCCAGGAGTTTTATATTCTATTTTCAGTGCCTCTGACTGATAAATCTAGTTCAGGTGTTAAAGGGTTAAGTAGGCGCATTTCCTCCTCACTCTTGCCTGTAATCTCCCAGCTGCTACTTAAAATTTATCACAGCCCTTTGATTTGATCCTACAGATGCAGCTAGGTCCTTCCCTCAGCTGGTGGGAAAAATAACCAAGGGAAGAAAGAGACTGTGATGCTCAGGACCACTTACTTGAGCTGCCAGTGTCGATGACCGCCCCCCCCCCATTAAATAATCCCCTCCTCCTTACCCCAAAAATCTTAACACTAAAGTACATATGTGAGGAGGAGATATTTTCAATGTGTTATATTACAGACATGGAATTATTTTACTTTATAACAATTATTATAGGGAGGCCTGGGAGGCTCAGTTGGTTAAGCGTCTGCCTTCGGCACCAATCATGATCCCAGAGTCCGGCGATCGAGCCCCGACTCGGGCTCCCTGCTCAGTGAGGAGTCTGCTTCTCTCTCTGCCTACTGCTCCCCCTGCCTGTGTTCTCTCTCTGACAAATAAATAAAACCTTAAAACAAAACAATTATTACATATTCAAAGCAATTCTTTTGACCTAG